GCGCTGGACACGATTTCTAACGAACTCCTTCCATCTGGAAGGGTGAGAGCTGATCCATGTGAGCGAAACTGAAGAGTCGGTCCATAAGTACGTAGGCACATTAGAGAAGTTGAGCTGGTCTTTAACGTACTTTACAAGCTTAGCAAGAAGAACTGTAGCTGAAAGCACAAGCCTTGGAATCGTCAGCCGTTTGAGAGGAGCTACTTTAGTTTTCGAGCAGATCAATGATATGCGAAGCTCTTCATTATCGTTGAAGACCTTGAGATACACAACGGCTGACATTGCAAGCTGAGAGGCGTCTGAGAATCCGTGTATTTCAACAACGGAGGTCTGGAGCAATCCAATCCATCTGGGTACGGATACGTTGGACAACGAGATGAGATCCTGACGAAAGCTATTCCATCGATGTGCTATTTGAGGCGAAACTTCATCATCCCAACCAAGCTTCTCAATCCAAATCTCCTGTAGGAGCATCTTTCCTCTGATGACTACAGGAGAGAGAAATCCGAGAGGGTCCTAGAGCTGAGCAATTTCTGAGAGAATAATCCGCTTGGAGACGGTCAAGTTCTGCGATGGTTTGGTTGAGAAGACGAAGTTATCTGAGTTGGGTTGCCAGAATAACCCCAATATCCTGGTCTGTTAGTCCTCGTAGATTTGCTGGTCATTTGAGGTGCGGTCAGGATCGAGCCATCTGAGAAGGTCTGAGCTGTTACTATGCAATTATGCCGAAGGCATCCCTTCAGCAGCACAGAGATTGCGAACTTCTTTAGCGGTTTCTACGAGTTGGTCATGCGTATCTGCACCTCCACAGATGTCATCAACGTATCTTCCCCTCACGATGGGATTGACGGCCAAAGGAAATCTGTGCCCTTCATCCTCAGCGAGCTGGAGAAGAACACGATTCTCGAGAAACGGAGCTGATCTAGTCCCATACGTGACGGTGGTCAATTGATACGTTGAGAGTCCTCCATTTGAGTCGGTCCATAAAATCTGCTGCAGAGGCCTTCATGGACTCTGATCTGACGGAACATCTTGGTGATGTCCGTCATGAAGATGACCTTGTGCTGCCTAGTCCAGAGAAGAACATCAGATATGTCGTGCTGCAGCTTGGCCCCTGTATGGAGAATATCGTTGAGCGATTTCCCTGAGCTGGTCATCGCTGATCCATTGAAAACTACTCCCAGTTTCGTTGTTTCGCTGCTTTCTCTGACTACGCCATGATGAGGAAGGTAATAACTCCTGCGAATGCCAGATGGTCCTACTCGAAGCTCCTCAGAGACCCTCAACCCTCCTGAAGCCTGAGCTTCATGTGCCAAGGTCATCCCGTCAGAGCAACAAGCGGTCTCCACCTGAACCGAAGACGAAGAGCGAACAAGAGAAGGAACTACCAACCTCATGTGATCGAGATCGACTTATTCTTTGACAAAGTCAGAGTAGAGCTGCAAGAACCGCTGATCTTTGGAAATCCTAGCGATAATCCGATGAAGACAAGCTAGAGCTGGGCGATAAGAATTTCCTAACAACGAAACTGGAGATGAGAGGGGCAACCGAACGACGTAACGACCTGTGCTGTCTCTAGAGTGAGTCTGACGAAAATGCTGCTCACAGCTAAGCTCGTCAGCCGAGAGATCTGAGTCAACTCATCCAGTAAACTTCCTCCTGGATCCAGAATTTAGAGAGAAGTTCTTCCAGCTTATCATTGGAGACCTTTGAGACAGCCAGATGATGAGCAAGTCGTGTTGGAGTGTTGGAGAAAGTCGAGTTTAATTGTCATAAAGAGTCACTAATTACACTTGAATATCACAATAAAGAGCTGAGCAATACGTAATATAATTGAGTGAATTGTAGATTTAGTTCTGAGAAGAACTAATAATGAGCAGGTCTAATTAAAGAGAAAGAAGCGAAGTTCTGCGAAATGCGGGTAAACACTCTCGAACGGCGAAATGCAAAATGAGAGAGAGTGATAAGCCGCAAGGTGGGAGGTGTCGAATCACCGCGATGGTCAAATACACCTGTCCATCAAGTAGCGCCTCAGGTGTCAGAGGTGAAAGGCCACTGGTCATCTGAGGTGAGCGAGTCAATCAGCTGAGTGGGTCATGATTGTGTGTGTGTGTGCGTGGAAGAATTCGGTGAAAACCCGAACAGCATGGATGAAATCACACAATTTTTCAAAAAATCTTATAAGTATTAAATTTAAAAAATCATAAAAATTATTGTGAGCAAATGGCGCCAAGTCGACGCTAATTTAAACGCAAGATAGAAGCATGGGACAATAACTGCATGGATGAAATCACACAATTTTAAAAAAAATCCTATAAATGTTAAATTTAAAAAATCACAAAAAAATTTTGTGAAAAAATGGCGCCAAGTCGACGTGAATCTGATCGCTTCCAAGACAGAAACAAGGGACAATTACTAAATAGTTGAAATCACACAGTAGGCGAACTGATTACGATATAATCTTATTTAAAAAAAAAAATGGAAATATTAAAAAAGGCCAAGTTTATGCTGACAGCGTCAACTAGGACAATTTTCCGCAGTTTTAGTTCCGATTGGAAAATCGATTAATGTTAATAAAGGTTTTTGTCATTCCGGCTGTGAGACAGTGTTTTACGGCTGCGTTGTTTTGCTTCGCGTCCACGAAACGCTGACTACGGCT